TGTACGACTGTACGTATACTCTGTACGACTGTACGTATACTTTGTACGACTGTACGTATACTTTGTACGACTGTACGTATACTCTGTACGACTGACATATACTCTGTATGACTGTACGTAAACTCTGTACGACTGTACGTATGCTTTGTAGGACTGTACGTAAACTCTGTAGGACTGTACGTAAACTCTGTATGACTGTAAGAGTATACGTACTGTCCTACAGAGTACATCACAATGAGAATTTTGTACGTAAGGATCCTCTACCGCCACTAATACTGGAAAAAGTGCTCACAAAATTCTTTAAATAGAGACTAACAAGACTAGGATATTGCTGTTTTTATATCATTATTTATTCATTTTTAATATCTTTCGTATATATAATATATATAATTTACAACATATTAAAGTACAATAATTAAACTACAAATTGGAGGATTTCAATCTAAATTTTTGTCTGGAACAATTGTTTTCATAAGCTTATTTGTAAGTGACATTGTAGTGATGGATTCAAGCTATGAAACAAAACTAAAATATTTTCTGTTCATGGAGATCAGTAAGAAGTACAGCAGATGTGAAGCACTAATCATTCACCGACACGGAGTAGCAGCATGGCAATGAAGGGTACAGTTTGTAGTTTATAATGTAATAATTATTGGTCAAACAGCTAATGCAATGATGTCGAGAATTTTCAGAGAAATTTAGAAAACAAATTTCATGTGAAAAGCTGTCTTATCCATGACAAGATAAATTATTGATTTTATGCCATCTTATTCAGTCATTTCTGAAATAAGGTGGTACATCTTCACATCTATGAAGCATTAGTTGTATTGTTCTTAAATGTATATTGTTAAAAGACTTTAGTAGTAGCTAAATCCATTGTCAAATACGTTGAACATTCTTCCATGTGTTTAAAGCCAGGTTCACCTATCATTTTTAAATATCTTGCTAATTAAACAGCGACTTTTTGAATTTTTGTATGAGAAACAAAAATATTATATTTGTTTTGGTATACTTTCTGCAAAGAAATTTGTTGAACACATTAGAATTTACTTTCCTTTACCATTCAGCTTCGCCTGTTGCTTTGTGAAAGATGTAGTCTTTGCCTTTTACATTCATAATTCCATCTTTCAGATGAAACTTCCACTTGTTTCTGCTCCTGGCAATCTGGAATCAATTACACAACCAAATAAAAAATCATAACTCTGCTTAGAAATGTTGAAATGATTTAGCCATTAATGATTAAGCCATAAACAGTTTGGCATATACATATGTTGTTAAGTACCTTTTCAAACTGGCAGACCACTACATTTTCAGTGTCAAACAAGTCAGTTGCGCCATCATCAGAATCGTCATCCTCAGAATTCAATGGCTCTTCCTCCTATGACATTTTTAACAAATATCATTGTTATATTGATAAATTATTTTCACTGTTTTCTCGCTCTCTTATTGGACGATTCGGTGTCACGTGTCCGGAGCTAAAATCAACTGTTGACTGATCGGTCAACAGTTTGACGATTGTTGACCGCTTGGCCATTGGCGGGAAAAGGCCGCCTCGCGTCGAGTAAAAGTTTGTAAAGGCGGGAATGGTTTTTGCTGCTTTCCAATGTTTACAAAATGGAGCCGGCATCAAAACAGATTTTCAAATATTAGTCAAGAAAAAGACGAAATGGCTGTCAACAAAGACTTGGAAAACGCTAACAAAGCTACAAAGACTGCTTTGGATACGACTCTGATAGAATTCTGCAGAGAAACCAAGAGAGAAACGGTGAATTTGGACAAATGTCACGTTAAATTTCTATTCAGGAACTCATTGACTGTTTCATTCATAAAGTTTTGCTAGTTTTTTGGCATTTGTATATCTATATTAGTTTTATTTTCAAGCACAATGTAATTTAAACGCTTACATCTTTCTATTTTGTCGCGACGGTCAAATATTATATTTACAATAAAGTATTATTCATGATTATTGAGAATCATCTTGCAATGTGTTTTGATTTTTTTTATTCACATAATTTACCAATATAACAAAGCACTTAATGACTGTTCCCTCGGGAAACGGTTAGTTTTTGTTTCCCTCAAATCTCAATGTTTCCATCGGCGTACCTCGGGAAACATTGAGATTCTCGGGAAACAAAACTAACTGTTTCCCTTGGGAACAGTCATTAAGTGTATAATATTGGCATGTAGTGATGATTTAAATTACATGAATCTATCATTCACCTCGACTGGTTGCTCTTGTTCTTCTTCAAATTCATGACTTGTATTTCTATCATGGTCTTCATCATCATCATCATCATCTCCATCATCGCTATCACTGTCATTAGCACCATCAACTTGAATGATCATGTGGGACTATGAAAATACAGAGAATTTATGTTTAAAGTGAAAACAAATAAACAAACAAAATTCCTGAAACATCAAAAGAAAAACAAACAAATAATCAAAACAGCAAGTTCTACTGAATACAAAACTGTTGCAAACAGTGTGATTTGTAACATATATCAATTTTCACATAGTTGTATTTAACAACACAAGACCTCCAAGTGGTAAACAACAAAATATAGTACAGACTTACTGGTTTATTGGCCTGGACCTGTGTTGTGACAACTTGCTGTTGACTTGGTTGTTGCTGTTGCTGCTGTTGTTGTTGCAAGTGTTGAGTACTAACTTGTATTGTTCTAGCTGTAGGATATGATGTAGCTAGCCCTGTCCCTAAAACACAAAACATTTCAAAATGTTTGGCTTCATAAAATCATACCCTTTCTCATCTTCCTACTTAATTTACGTTCATTATGGGCTATTACTTTGCTCTTGCACAAGTTTTTTCAAACTGGCAGTTGGCAGCAAAGCACTTAAGCTGATTATAACTGCAGTCTATTGATTATTTCAGTTATAAAACTCCCTTCAAACTCTCATCACTTTGAAATAATTGGTTTATTATCATGACTACAATACCTGAAGGACGTTGAACTTGCTGCATTCCAGGTAATGCTAAAGTAGCTGCAGTGGCAGCAGGAGTCTGTGTGAAAATATATCATGATAAGAAATATTAAGTTAAAAATTTCTTTGTTACATAAAAAAATGCTTATGACTTTCTTACCATTTGACTCAATGCATGAATATGAGTCTGTTGCTGTGATACATGTGCTTCTGGGAATATAATGGCTGTCTGTCCAGGTGGTGCCTGTCGATGAGCTATTGTACCTGGCATGGCTGCACTTGATGCTGCATGGCTGATTGCAACTAGAGACGGAAAACAAAACTAATGAGCAAAAACAACTTTATTTGCACGTCACTTTTATAACAAGTATTGGGAAGGACTATATTGATAGAAGTATCATCAGCAGTTACCATAGTTACTAATATAATATTTAATATCAGGCTAAATCCAACTGTCAATCATAATACCTCTCTGTGCAACTTGCTGCTGGGGCTGTGGTTGTCTTGCCAATTGAGCTGCGGTAGGGATCCCTTGGTTTGTCTGCASGATGTGAGGATACATGTACTGTGGTCTTGCTGGTTGGTCAGCAGGCATTCCATCTACTGCCCTTGATTGTAATAGCTTATTTTCCCATATCTACAGCATTCAAAGTATTCAGGCATTCTAATTACAGTATGTAGTATAATTTGTGACCACTGGGGGTAGGGGTGATTTAGGTACATGCTGATAGGTGACAAATGTACCATAGGTACAAGCATATGTTTTTCCTTAAATATTCATATGAAAAAAATAACAAAATACATTCTCACTTTCAAATTTTCAAACACTCTGATTTCCTGTAGACTTTGATGGATTTTTAAAATATCTTGATAAACTGTATTCAATAAATTTGATCACTAGATTTATACATTTCATAAAACATATGATAATCGTTAATGGATTGAATGATGGATTGAACTATATTTTCACTCCAAAAATAAGATACTATTTGAATAATAGTTGATTTCAGGGGTGATGCTTTCACAAATGTGTGCACAGCTGTTTCAGTGTGCTGGTTAAAAATAGCCAACAAAATAATTAAATGCATATAAAAAAACATTGTTACACAAATATAAGTTTTGCTTTCCACAAAAATGTATATTAAGTTTATATATATATTAATACATTTTTATTTCAAACTATCAATAATTTCAATAAATAACAGAATTTGGGTGATTGAAAGTACAACAATGCAAGAAAAATGTGCATAAAATCATTAGTCTTAAATTATCTTCAAGAAGTCACATTCGCTTTGGGATATTTTTGATCACGTGCACAACCTCGACAAAACATGCTAATTCAAAAAAAAAAATTACACTTGAGAAAAATACAAAGAGCATTAACAGAAACCATTAACAACAAAGAGGTATCAAAAATCAAAAGAGAAACATCTAAAAACAACTTTTTCTTACCTGTTTCAGCTCTTGTAAGACTTGCTCATCGACCCCTTCATTTAGAAATGCTTCTTTGACGTTTTTTATTACTTCTTCGATTACATTACGGTAGACTTTGGGCTGCAACATATCGATATACTCAGCCGATCATCAACAATTTTGAAAAAAAATTCGCTCTGAAGATAGTAAATACTTACAACATTGTTTGCATTTGACATTTTGAAGGTTTTATCAACTACAGAACACTACTTTCTTGGTCGATGGGCTTCAAAAAAGCCACCTTCTTGTCAACAGCGAGGCCTTTTATATACTAAATGCTGCCAGCAATTGGGGGGTCTCTTTATTCCTTCCAATGGTGACCCTCTTCAAAAGTTTGTACCGAGGAGTTTCCGAATATGTGCCGAAGTTAATACTAGTAAATTCCTACAAAAACATAATGGTTTTATTTAACTAATAATAACTATTTTATAAAATAGGGTAAAGGTATCTTATGAGTGTTCCAAAAGATCTTTAAAAGTTAGTAATTGATTTAACTTGACCAAGCCGATTAGTTTCCGAAGATGATCGTAATACTTCCGAATCGAATGACCTCCATTCAAAATGGTGGACGTTCCGACGTTCCAATGAAATAAACTTTCTTCATAAATACACAACTTCTAGTTCAGAGATTTAAAATATTTTTTGGATATTTATTGCGTGGAAGTATGGGTTCAAATCTTTCAACGTCATCGAAAAAGAGGAAAGAAATGGACGAAGAATTTCGTGAAAATTTTCATCAGATTTTCTCCAATCTCCACAAAGACTGCTATTTGGCAGCAGGGGCATGTTACTACAGTGCTGAGTGGCATGAAAGAATAGCTCGATATTCAGAGAGATTTTCATCTTTGTTTGGTGTGTTTAGTGCTGGTGGTTTTGGACTTATGCATTTCTATAAGGAAGGTCTAACACTTAAAGGACGAGGAGTGTTAGGAGGAACATCAACTGTACTCGCTGCGTGCTTTGCTCTAAGTGCGGTTTTTCATGGGATGAAAGACTCATCCCGAAGTCCTTCCTCTTTGAGTACACAGTATAATGACACAGCTGCTGAGTGGGATGAGCTTCAACATATTTTAGAATACTACAGAAAAGTAAAAGTCAGAGATCCTAGCGTTAATATTTCCGAACTTGAAATGATGACACGGGAGATTCTGCGGAGGAGGAAGGAGATAGGTTTGAAAGCAAAAGTAGAGGAATGGGCTTTTAAAAAGATGGTCAAGGAAGAAGCACTTTTTTCTCAAGAAATTAAAGATATATTAGAGCCTCCAACTAAAGCAGTTGATCAAAGTAATGTTCCTGAGCAGAGAAAAGAAAACAAAATGGATCAATGAACATAAAGACAACAATTGCCACACCTTAGTTTTTTGTGCACTTATCCAGTATTGTTTTGATAAGTACAATATTGTAATCGATACTGCATCAAAAAATATGTTTCAGTWTAAAAGTTGAGTTAGCTGTTGATATAGATAAAATATGTATTATACTTTTTCAAAGGAAAATGTAATATAGTGTAAGTAACTTAACTTAGATGTGTCTAATAAAAACTCTTGTAGGTGATTATAGTTTTATGTTGTACTCCTCACAGTACTTTTTAATCTTCTTATGCTTGCTTTGCATGCTAGCTTCCTGCTCTAAGCAATGCAGCATGAACATCCTTGAGTGAAACCAAGTCTTATGACTAATGACTGAACTGATATAGATTCGCTGAAGCAATCAGTCTAATACGACTGGTTTCAGTCAAATACAACTTTYCCCATAAAGAAGTACAAAACAGATTAAGAACATTCTGTGAACTGAAATCCAGTTACCATGATTATGTTTGCACTTGTGGGATATTTTTTTGTCATATTATCCTGAAATATATTTTAATTAAAAGGTAGTTTCTTTTGAGTGTAACAATGCAATCAACTGCAATGTTGTGTGTGAGTAATGTATCAGCTATTCATAAAGCCCTGTGACAATGGTAAATCGTCACATGACCGGACGCTATTGTGCAAATGCCCTACCCCATGGGAGAMAAGTCACGTTTTGTCAATGGCTCTGTAACCTGGCTGATGTGTTGTTCAGTGCGATATGCYCCTCGTGGATTACTAGAAAGTGTTGWGTTTATTGTCTAGAAAAGCAATTTATGGTCTCTAAAGGATGGACTAAAGAACAAGAAATGGTGTAGTTAAAAGCCATTTGATCGTTAATAATGGTATAAGGTAAAGACGCAGCGAATTTAACTTCTAGAAAAGAAACGGCGCGTGCAAATCGAGGTAGTGTACCTTGACTGGAAAGCTAACCTTGGCAAGGTTGTTGTTGTATTCATTCAAGGTCACGATGTTGATTCTTGTTAGATTCATCTCTTTGGTTGACGAATGTGTCTTGTAACTATTCGTATTGGAAGTTCGAGTCTTGTGTTATTGTCAACTTTGATTCACGGACCACAACTTCCAAGGTTTCCAACATGTTTAGACCAGTTAATAGACATTGTTTTGTTTGCCATACGATGAAAAAACTACGTTTTCTATAGTAAATATGTAATTTATTCTTGTTCCTATTTGTAACTGGCCGCTGGATATCAATTCCTGTATTGTTTTTTCCCATCTGATGACTCAAATGCCATCCTTACTTTTCGTCGTTGTTTTGTTTTCATTTTGAAATGAATGAATGTCTGTAGCAACACCCTCTTAATCGAATACGAATTAAATCYACGACACACRAAATAAACTTATAAAATATTAGAGGATATCASTCTCTGATCTTATAGTAAACTATTGCAAGAATAAACCATTAATAATTAGATTTCAAAAGAATATTTACACCAGAAATGAGAAATGCGTAGTAGCCCTGATCGTTTTGTAAATAAGCTTATTCTAGTACCAGTTTTCTATTCATAAACTTAGAATTCTATGAAAAATGTATACACTACGCCACAAATTTTGCTTGGACGTTGTTAGATTTTCCGTGTCCCAAATACTCATATTTCATTACTATTTTTAATCTTTCTGTATGATAACTTGTAAAAGTGAAATTGAAATATCATCATATGTAGAATCTATTGAAAAATAAGGCATGGTTTATACGAAAGATCATCATGGATTTCATGGCTAATGCTTTTCCAAGAGTCGGTGTATTACTCTTTGTGTAATCAACTAAGATATCTTTCTTAAACTCACTGTGTCTCTAAGTTGAACCAATAGAAATCAAAAACACTAGTTACTTGAAGTCTAATAACTAACTATACTATTGACGCTAGACTATTATCTTATAACTTGCAGTCTGTAAACAGTGATTATATAACCTACCATTGCATGTCTGTACAAAACTAAAAAGTTGATATATCTAAAAGAACTTGAAATTTATTTATCCAATGAATAAGTTTTTATCAGATTATCRAGGAAGTAATATTAGTATTTCATTGTTTTTCTTRTATTTTTCTTTGATTACATACTAATGACCTATAATCTCGCTATCATATTTTTTGAAAGGTTATCACTTTTCATGTCTTTTATAAGTTTTTTTATTTATCAGTGTGTTTGTGTA